AACAATTTCATCTCTTATTTTCATCCTTAATTGCAATTTGTCACTCACACAGCGAGCTGTACTCAGAACCCACTTCTCTGTGGCCTTTATTTTCCTTTATTGTCACTTGAAATTAATTGATAAGCCAAAAACTTGATGCAAAAATATTAAAGGGACCATCTCTATATTAAAATTTTCATCATTGCATCGCTAAAACAGAATAACAAAATCAATCAAGAAAAATTCAACGATGCCGTTTCTCAAGACATGGATCAAGACCAACTCATAAAAGACAGCAGTTCATAACTGGAAAAAAACCACCAAAGCAAAAAACTCACAACACACACCAAAGTATTGCTTGCTTAGCAAGTGAGAAACTACACATCACTTCAACTTTTTTTTGCATTTATCTCCTTCCCTAACACCAAAAGTGGGCTTTCTTTTTAAGCAGCTTATTGGATCAGTTACTTCACACATATTCTCAAACTTTGAGCAGTAAAATCTGGTTTAGGAAAGTTCAACTTGTTTCTCTCCCACAAAAATACAAATCTCTCATTCTGAACATTCAAAACAAAAAAAATTATGGTAGCCAGTCAAACAAATAATTATTTTAAAGCCAAACACAGAGCATAGAGGTGATATATAATAATATTAGGCTATTTCTTTGGATGCCCCTTAAAACCTCAACTACAGGTTTACTTACAAAGAGGCCTCTAACAAATTGCCCTGATAAGTCAAAAACAGTTGTCATTTTTTTTAAAGCAAAAGATTCCATTTCAGTATTATTGGGACTATGTGTTAAGGTCATAATGTGTATACATTAATCTATCAGTTATATAAGCAAGTAATTGTCATCATACAGATACCTTAGATTTGTCTTGTAGGCAACTGCTTAATAATTTGCAACATGAATGGGGAAAAGGAAAAAAAACAAGAATATGCTAAAACCAAAGCTACCTTTCAAACACTTAAAAATTACATCTTACTGCAACTACACTGAAAAGAACAGCAATAAACTTTGACTGCAAAGTGCCAGGAGAATGTGGGTATTTATGATGTCATTCCTTGAAAGAAAAGAACCATTCAGAGGATCCAAAGAAATCTGTATTGCACAGGATCAATCTGTACACTGGAACCATGGGCCCCAGCAGGATCAGGATAACCACAGTAAGCACATGTTGTCACCAGTCTATCAGTTATGTTCATTCCCTGACACAACTGGTCCTTACACCATCATCGAGATTCAAGTTGAGTGATGATTATTTTTTAATTTCCCAACTGAAATCTCAGAGATCCCTCCCCAGAAAGCTGTGATCTAGCACAGTTGGCCTTAAGTAGAAAAGGACATGATGAAAACATGGTTCCAGGTGAAGCCATGCATATCCGAAATAACGGCAGCCCTTCCTTCCATCCAGCTCAGCAAGAGACATTCAGCACTGCACAGACACTTCTCACTTGTTTATTGCTGCAGCAAATGTTTGCTGCAGTGTGAATGACATGCTGAACATACCACAAACAGTAGAACGATAGCTATTAAGGCCAAAAATATCAAAGAGACTGGAAGAGCATTTTGATGAGGAGGAAACATTAAACCAGATCTTTGTAGCATTTGCTAAATAGAGAGACTCATCATATTTCGGGCCATTTGTATTTAATTGTCCTTTCATCTGAAGAGCAGTGGATGAATGAGCATCAGATGAGTCAGATGCTCTAAAGAGGTCCCATCAAGGACGCCCCGCAACACAAGAGCACTGCCTGCAAAATGCCTCACACAACAACCTCTCAGTGCCTTGGCCTATCCCGTTTTGGTTTGGCACTAAAGCACTGAAAAGAAAACGGCAAACAGACCTGCAGTGGCAAAATGCAAGAACTTTAAACACATTCAACACCAGGAACCTCCATGCTTTTCGACCTGCCAGAAAGACACGCTCAGATTAGTGGATAATTATCTAAAATCCAGGTTTTTTTGTTCTTCCTTTGCTTCAGTTTAAAGGAAAAAAGTGCTCTTATTTCTCAAGGTCAATGTTTTCAGTTGAAGTCAAACTCACAATGGAATAGGTCACTCACAACACTTCAAAAATCAGGTTTTGAAGTGGCAGACACAGACATTACAGCAGTGTCAGTTCAAAGAAAGGAGAACCCCTGGTCTTTGGTGGAGAAGGTAGGCAGGCCATGGGCATGGAGACAAGGAGCAACACAGGAGGTTAAATCTACTGTGCTGCCCTTGAGCTAAACCCATGTGTCTTTTATACTGTCCTCTAATCCTTAGATTAGTTTCTCCACTTTGACTTTAACAATATTAACTGAAGTGCAGAGGCAATCAGCAGACCACAGCTTTGCCAAAAATTCAGTTGAATCATTAAAAGTGATTTATAAAAATAGACCATGAATAAAAATCATCAGTTGTAATCCTCAACTGTTAAACTGTCTCTCTGCATTAAACACAAACACTGGAATTGTTAATTCAAGGTAAACATGGAAAAGATATCATCTTCTCTATATTCCTTCCAATTCATCTCTCAAATCTAATCATGTCTCCATATGATAACAAACTGAAAAAGGGGTAGCTTGTGTGTTAACAAAGAACATCTCATTCTGCATAAACTACATACTGCAATTGAATGCATTTTCAAGTATAAATTCTAGCTTTGGCATAATTTTGTAATCTTGAAGTGAAACAATTTAGGTCCTTATTTTATGTTGTTCCTTTTTTCATCAACACAGCTCCTCCTAGGATGCAGATGATCCTCTTAAGTCATCTTTATGCTGTTATCTTTGCAAAGAATGATGTCTGCTCCAGAATCCTGCCATTGCTAATCACTCAAATCAGGTCCCTCACAGGTCTATTAGGAGGAACAGTGCTGAGGGCAGCAGAATAAAGATGAGATTGTTGCTTCTCTTTCTTTTCAAAGAATCTATCTAAATACATCTCTTCACTTTCATGGATCACTTGTCCTGCCAAGGATAAGTTCCACTGTGCAAAATCTGCAGCTGCCTTGGCTTTATATTGTCCAAGAAATAACAGAACAATGTACTTGAGACACTGCACGCAGCACAGATCAAAAACAGCATGAAGTAGCTTCTGAAATGGAGCTGTCTATACATAATTAATGACAAAAAGTAGGGCCCCCCGTGTCAAAAGGAGGAAAGTTGTCTGAGACTCAGAGGAGTTAAAAGTAACTAAACATTAGGGCAGCATCATGGGCTCTGGGGCCTTAGACAGGGTCCCTCAGGATGGCATCCCTTCCCTCCAGTGTGTCATCCATACAGTACAGCTTGTGTGTGTCAGAAACTTGCTGAGGGTGCCCTCGATCCCACTGTCCTTGTCACTGACAAACAGCACTGGTCCCAAAACCAGTGCCTCAGGAACACCACTCCCCACTGACCTCAACCCTGTGACTGCAGAAGATTGAGCCACAGAGCCACCCACACCTCAGATCCTTGTCTCTCGGATTTAAAGACAGGATGTCATGTGGGAAAGTGTCAAATTCTTTGCACAGGTCCAGGTAGATGATGTCAGTTGCCCTTCCCTCATCCACTATTTCTGTAACCCCATCATAGAAGGCCACCAGATTTGTCAGGCTGGTGGCCAGATTTGCTGTGGTGAAGCCATGTAGGCTGTCCTTATTTTCCACAGACCTTAGCATAGTTTCCAGGAGGATCTGTTCCATGGTCTTGGCAGGCACCTAGGTGAGACTGACCAATCTGTAGTTCCCCACGTCTTCCTTATTTCCCTCTTTTAAAATCAGGATTATGTTTCCCTTTTTCCAGTGGGAACTCCATTAAACAGCCACAGCTTCTCAAGTATGATGGATGGTGGCCTAGCCAATGACTGTCAGTTCCCTCAGGACCCATGGATATATCACATCAGGTCCCACGGACTTGTGCACCTTCAGGTTCCTTAAATAGTCTCAAACCTGGTCTTCTCTGAGAGTAAGCAGTGCTTCACTCTCCTTGTCCCTGCCTTTGCCCTCTGCAACTTGGGCCATGTGGCTGGAAAAGTTGTGACTTGGTTCTTTTAAACTGTTCAGCCTTTTTTAGAACAAGGCAACTCTTCAGAAGTTTCACAGGTTCTCTTTAATACCTTGCTGAAGTTTAATGCCCTGGATGACTACACTCAGAGTGGCACCTGAACCAATCATTAATCTGATTTTAAGCCAACAAGGCTATACCTTAAAAAAAGCCCACCTTCTGCCTGCTCCCCCATCTCTGCTTTCCTGAACACATCCCCTTCTTCACTCACCGTAAAACTCAAACTGGAGACTTCTCAAAGAGCACAAAAGATCAAGAGTAAGTACAGTGGGCAAAAGTTCTCTATCAGCCATCAACCACATATCTCAAACACATCACAAGTTTTTGTTCCTGCCCCCACAGGACTGGGAATTTCCACTCTTCTCAGCTGCAATACAAGCCAGAACTGTTAAAATGGCTGTGAAAGCCTCTCCCATGGATCAGAGGGACCACGAGTTGCGATTTTTGGGGTGCTGGTCTAGAGTTTCAGACAAAAATAATGCTACATCTCCTCTGTTCAGCTGCACTGCAGGCACAACTTACACCTGCACACGTTGATACCTGAGAGAACTTGGAATCTTTTGCTAAAGCTGATTCCACCAAGGAAAAAATTAGTTCCTGAATGCAAAAGCCTTCTGAAAGAAATAATTGAATCTTACTCATTTCTGAATTTCTAGGAAGAGTGAGCAAGGGCTTGTGCTGCAGCATTTGAAAGGGCTCTGTTGGGAAATTTTTTCTGATTATTTTAATGCACCAAAAAAAAAAAAAA